TTCCCTTTTGCGAGCGATTCCTACTTGCGTGCGATTCCCATATGCGAGCGATTTTTCTATGCGTGCGATTCCCTTTTGCGAGCGATTCCTACTTGCGTGCGATTTTCATATGCAAGCGATTTTTCTATGCCTGCGATTCTTATATGCGAGCGATTATTCTATGCGTGCGATTCCCATTTGCGTGCGATTCCCTTTTGCGAGCGATTCCTACTTGCGTGCGATTCCCTTTTGGGAGCGATTCCTAGTTATGTGCGATTACCATATGCGAGCGATTTTTCTATGCGTGCGATTCCTATTTGCGTGCGATTTCTTTTTGCGAGCGATTCCTAGTTACGTGCGATTTCCATATGCGTGCGATTCCCATTTGCGTGCGATTCCCTTTTGCGAGCGATTCCTACTTGCGTGCGATTCCCTTTTGGGAGCGATTCCTAGTTACGTGCGATTCCCATATGCGAGCGATTTTTCTATGCGTGCGATTCCCTTTTGCGAGCGATTTTTACTTGCGTGCGATTCCCATATGCGAGCGATTTTTCTATGCGTTCGATTCCCTTTGCGAGCGATTCCTACTTGCGTGCGATTCCCATATGCGTGCGATTTCCCTTTGCGTTCGATTCTTTTTTGCGTGCGATTTCCGAGGTTTTTTAGTGGGTTCGATTCCCACACTACCCTGATCTTTTTTCTGGGATATGGTAATCCCTCAGAAGAGATCAGGGTGTGCGCGGGCATTTTTCCTCGTAAAAAAAAAAAAAAAAAAAATTGCGTGCGTTTTATTCACGTGTGAAGGTTGTATAAGTATATGTGTTGCAGCAGAAGCATATGTGCAGTGCGTGCATGCATGCATTTAGCCTGTTCTACATTGATCGCAAGCGCGAACGCAAGGAACAGGTCTGGTAGAATTGAGTAATTGTATTGATCAAATCAGCCAATCGACCAGCGTGATTGGTCAATTCTACGAGATCTATACCTTGCGTTCGCGCTTGCGATCAATGTAGAACGGGCTTTTTATGCACGATTGTGGTGGATGTAGTAAGTTTTAGTCGGTCGTGCACTATTCGCATGCGTGTACAAGTATTACATATACGTACGCTCATGTGTAATTTCGCATTCGTTCTATTGTGTGCATAAAAGAAGTATCTATTTAAAAAGCAGTTTACTTAGGTGTTATGGATCGGATATGTTACGTGACATATCAGTCACATATTCATGATGATATATTCTGTTTGTTCGCTTTCTTTGTAACGGTCGATTTTACAAATTTCGAAATATCGAGCATACAAGTTTAATAAAATTCGTGGTTTAAAAGGTAGTTTTATATATGTAATAAAGATACACACACTGGAAATGCAAGGTGAAGTAATATAAATGTTGTTTTACAATAAGATTTTATAACAGTTAGTCTCAAAGTTTTCATTGAAAAGTAAGAAAGAAATAGGAAAGTTATTATGTTTGGTGATTGTAAAATTGTAGGTTTGAACATTATGTTATATCGATAAAAAATGAGTGTACCGTATTGTAACGTATTAGTTGTTTGTGAAAATCACATGTTCTTGATTTTTCAAATTCCATTAAAGCGACAGTTTTGTTTACTTTGTGTGCGTCAAAATTGACGCTTGAATTGCGCCAGAAATTGCAAAGCTTTAGAATATCGTCATTATTTTGCGAAAGATAATAGACCTTTACTTTGTTTATTATTTTTAGTGTTTATTATATCTATTTTTTTCGTGTCTAGTATAGTATCTATTTTTTTATATTTATTATGTTATCTATTTTCTTTTTGTGTTTATTATATTATCTATATTTTTTCGTGTTTACTTTTTTTTTGAGTTTTATGATTTTGTATTTCAGCAGAGAGAAGACTGCAGAGAGCGGCTAGGGTCAGGTGTCGATTTGACACTTGGACTCGTGCACATAGCACGGAATAGAACCATGTTGATGTTTGGACATAGTGTACGCACCGACAAGTCGTTCGTGGATATGGCTACGTAGTTGCCAATGTGCACCACTTGTGGACATTGCGCTGACTTACAGGGTAGAATAGCTATTAAGCCTGTTCTACATTGATCGCCAGCGCAAACGCAAATGCAAGGAACAGGTCTGGTAGAATTGACTAATCGTATTGATCAAATCAGCCAATCGACCAGCGTGATTGGTCAATTCTACGAGATCTATCCCTTGCGTTAGCGCTTGCGATCAATGTAGAACGGGTTTTACATACACGTACGCTTATGTGCATCTGCGCATTCGCTCTGTTATGTGCGTGAAAGAAGTAGATATCTATGGCTATGGTTATACTTTAAGTATACATATACTTTATGTCTATGAAAACAGGTTACTTAGGTTGTATAGATCGGATATTTTGCTTGATATATCATATATGTATAAGGTAATAATTTTGGTGGTTCGCTTCCGTCTGATCGTGTTAGGTTTTTCAAAGTTTGAAATAGCGAACATGCAAGTGTAATATATTTCGTTGTTTAAAAGATATTGATACATATACATAATAAAGGTACACAAATGCAAGTTGAAGTAATATAAATTTTTTTTAACAATAAGAATTGATAACAGTTATTCTCAAATTTTTCCGTGAAAAGTAAAAGAATGAAATGAGAAAATTATTAGTTTTGCCGGTTTTAAAAATAAAAGTTTTGAACATTATATCAATATAACATGATTTTACATAACATATTTGTTAGTTTTTGGAAATTACTTGTTTTCGATGTTTTAAATTTTAGTAAATGACAATTTTGTTTGGTTTGTTTGCGTCGAAATTGACGCTTGAATTGCGCCACAACTTGCAAAGCTCTAGCGTTCCGGGATTATTTCGCGAAAAATAATAGACCTTAACTTTGTTTAGTATATTATCTTCTTTAGTGTTTATTATATTATTTATTTCTTTCCGTGTTTACTTTTTTTTTATTCTTATAGTTTTGTATTTGAGCAGAGTAACTGCGAAGAGCGGCTAGAGTCAAGTGTCGACTCGAAACCTGGACTATGTAGTTGCCAATGTGCACCACCTGTGGACATGTGCGCTGGCTTACAGAGTGGAAAAGGAATTACACAGTTTCTTATGGGCCTGGCCGCTCTCAGGTTTCTCTCTGGTCTGCATTCTTCCACGAGCCCACACGGACAGCAAAGACTGGCCGGTGCCTAAACAGTTAAAGGGGCACGGTGCCATAAGTGCAAAGAAGAAGAAGCCCACACGGACAACGGTCTCGCTTGTATGCTTATCCCCACCACGTCGGTGTTCTCATAGCACGGAATAGAATTATGTCCACAAAAAGCTATCGCAGAAATTCTTATGGCCGTGGCCGCTCTCAAGCTTCTCTATAGGTCTGTTCGTTTTGCCTGAACTGGTCGCTCTGGGTCGCTCTGGGTCGCTCTGGGTCAGAGTTTATCCTTCTTTTTCCAACGTAGAGTAAAGAGGATGGGCTCTGACCTGGAGCGACCTGGAGCGGCCAGTTCGGGTAAAACGAACAGACATTATGATACGTAGCTGGAAAGCGCCCCTTATGTCCATGGATGGTGCACATTGGGTGCGTTCAGACAACTCAACAGTTGCACAACGGTTGAGAGATAATCACTTCTGATTGGATCATATGTTTGGGACCGTCTTAGATTTTGAAGAATAGTCCTATCATAAGTGATGATCTTTCAACCGTTGACTTTTCTTAACGTAACCATTGGCAACTACGGCTGTGTTCCAAAATTCACTGCGCTAAAGATCTATAGTTTGCGTCACATATACCATACAATTTTAGTACTGGCAGCGTGCTGGCAGCAATTCTGGAACACAGCTTACGTGATCACGAGCGACTTGTCTGTCTGCTTTAACAGAAAAATGTGTAGATTTTTAATTTTATAACAATGTTCAAATTTGGATTTGCTAAAGACACAATCAACACTAACGAAGGTATGAGTAATTATAGATAAAAAAGTTTTTGAATGATTCAAACTTTGTGTTTGTTACATTCGAGGTTACGGAGCATCAAATTGTTTTCCCGCAAAAATTTAACTAAGAGTACACACAGTGTACAAATTTTTGAACTTTTATTATGCACATAAAGAAAGTTTAATTATTAAAACAATTTTAGAGCAGAAGAAAGATGAACTGGAATGGATTTCTGCTACCAAAATCGAAATAACACCCGAACAAATCCAAGCAACATATAAAACCGATTCTTATATAGAAACAAAAATCTTTTCTCATTACAATCTAGGATTAATTCGCTCCGATAAAGTGTTGGAAGATTTAACTAAGCAAAACTATCAGAATATTGTTGAAGCCGAGTCACAACATTCCGATCTTGTTCCAGCGAAATATGAGGGTGATTCTTGATAAAAATGAAAATCGAAAAAAAAGTTTGACAAATAGTTTATTCAAATAACTAAAATCTTCAGTAATACGTCAAAAACTATTTAAGGTGGATTAAAAATTTGGGAGTGCACATTTGATTTGAGCCGATACATATTGCAAGAGAAAATCGACTTGAAAGATAAACTGGTCATGGATTTGGGATGTGGTGCTGGAGTGATTGGCATTGTCGCTCTTCTCAACGATTCTGCAGTTCATTTCCAAGATTACGTAGGTGTGATTTATATCTAATGAAAAACGCGATATTTGTGAGATCAACAAAATAATTTTTATAGAACGCCGAAGTACTAAGATCTGTGACCATCCCAAACGTAATATTAAATTTTGATAATCATACAAATGTATTTACAAAATGCGAATTTTATGCTGGAGACTGGACTTCTCTCGTAACATTATTTGATAATGACGAGAGTAGAAAATACGATTATATCTTTACAAGCGAGACAATTTACAATCCAAATAATCATAAAAAACTGTACAATGTTTTTAAACAAAGATTAAAAATTAATGGCGCTATGTGAGTATATTTATATTGCGCAGATTCTTCATTTTTTTAAATAAGTGGCTTCAATAAGTAACTAAAACATCGACTTCTGTTAGATTTGTCGCCGGAAAAACCTATTATTTTGGTGTGGGTGGTGGGATGAGACAATTTGAGGATCTCGTGTTGAAAGATGGGTTCTTTGACGTTAAATCTGTCTGGAAAAGTGAAGATGGTAAATTAACTCTAATTATATTTTTTATCTTGATGACATAACATTTTTGCAAATTTCAGGAGTAAACAGAGAAATTATAAAACTCACAAGAAAGGTTTATTAAAGAGATAATGTAAATCGAATAAACATTATTGTCTTTGAAGGAGTACGAGATATCAACTTGGAATGATGCAGCAATATTCTAGAATAAAATATTTTTTTTTCAATATAACAATTATTAATCACACACAGACACAATCGCTTTTTGTCAATAAAGATTGCAAATTGTTTTATGGCGAGAGTCTTTCGTAAATCCATCCATCTTCTCCTTGATGCACGAGAATGTTGTCTATTTTCTCGTCCGATTTTGGGCGTCTAAAGCGAATTCTGTCGTGAAGACGATCACTCTGACCTTGCCAAAATTCTATAGTGTGTGGCACAACAAGATATCCGCCCCTAAAGTATAAATATACATGATTAAATTACACTTTGTACAGATAAATGTTTATATCTAGAAACAGCAGAATGTATACAGGGTGCTTCAGAAATAGATAGCCAAATTTTGGTTGTATTCTACTTTCTCTAAAGATAAAAAAAGGTTATATAAACAATTTTGGCAACTCTTCCTTTTCGAGATTTAAATGCTTTTTTGAAGTTTTGGATAGATATCACACGTAGAATTACAAAAACTGTCAACACTTTTTTTTAAATAATTATTGCGAGCAAGTCACCTTGTTATTAAAGTCTTATGTCGCAGGAAATCATTTTTAGCAATTTCTTTAAGTTACAAGCATTTCTAAAATATTATACATCTTATAAACAAGAAACGTTTATACCGCGAAAAGGAAGAGTTTCCGAACTTAAATTTATGTGATCTTTTTTCATCTTTAGGCAGAGTAGAATACAATAAAATTTGACCACTTATTTCTGAAACAGATATTGTATATAAATGCAACTCTGGTATTTTTTTTGTTTTCATTTTTATATGTATCTTATATTTTTTTTAGCACGTGCGCGGCAAAAGATATATTTTAATATCATAGTAATAATTTAAAATAATAATAATAATTAAAAATTTCAAGTATACGATTTCAAGATTACTTACCAATGATCAGGTCTTTTAACTTGACCTTCCGGAAATTTCGTAAGTAATTCTTTTTCTTTCACAATAAGAGTCTCTCTACTAGCAATCACGGTACTCTGCTCACTGGACATAGAGCCGATTTGACTTTGATATGGCCGCATTTGAAAATACCGATCCGAGTCTTCCGTTGATGTTTTTTGTGCAACACCTTCTATACGAACCTAAGATAATTGATAATACAATAAGTAATTGTGATAATATACTACACAATACTTAATAATTGATAATAAACTACACAAACACTTGATAATATAATAAAATTATGTTACAACAAAACAATTTTTGCCATAAGAAATAAAAGCTAGTGTAAAAGTTTTGCAATTTATAATTTGTGATAAAATTTAGTGTTACTAAAGCATGTTGTTAAAAGCATTTCATACACTTCGGTTAAGAGGTTCCCAGTAAAAAGTCATCGCGACATGTGGATTTTCAGCCTAAAAATACGTCAAACAATGAAATACGTTTCTATACGTTTCACGTGACAATATAAGTTAGTCCAAACTTACAATTTCGCGACCTTTTCTGCTATTGTAATTCGTGAAAAATTTGAAACCTTCTGTGCCAAAAGTTTTTAGCAATACCGCACGCACAGATGGCACACCATCTCTGAAATGATTTTAAAATTACGTAAGTTCGATAAGCATAAAGACAATTATTTGCATTATTGTTTTGACTCATTAACGAGCGTTTTAGTTCTCTTCCTTTCGCAATTCTGTTTTACTAATTATTAAACAATTGGAGAAAGTTATAATTATATTTGTAAAAAAAAACAATGGGAGGAAAGTGGCCAATATAAGACAAAAACCAGATCTTTGGGTCGATAAACTTTTTTATTTGAAAAAATTATTAACAAACGTTTTGACTCTAAATTTGGGTCTTCTTCAGTATCTAAATACAATAATTATGTAAATTACTTATACATTCTAACAAAGTAGGGAACTGTCGCATAACGCGAAATACAGGGTTTGAAAAACTCACTCAAAATTCATAGATATAGGAAGAACTCTGTCCATCAGCCGTGTATAGCCGCTAACAAAAGATAATACTAACGGGGATGACATCTCGAAAAACAACGCGAACTAATAACTAACGCGACGGCCACCGCGCGGTTTGCCTCTGGTTTTTGCCTCGTATTGGCCACTTCTCTCTTATTATAACATTTCACGAGGAAGAATACAAAAGTTACAAAAAACATGGTATTGCATACAGTTTGCTTTCAGTAAAAATATAAGCGAGTGTGCGTATTAATTTTCTAATTTTTTTACAAAATTATTCTAATATTTCTAATATATATTTATACGTAAATTCTTTTAATAATTCTAGAAAAAATTCTCAAGAAAATATTACTTTGTTGAAGTTCCGAGAAGAACCGCATTAGGTTCTAAAATTTGTGGAGTGTTGCAAGCCACTTCGAACCATGCTTTGAATTGTCCGATCGGTTCTTTGCTGGCTAAATGATCTTCTGTGAAAGTTTCACTTTTATCTTTGTATTTTATTCGCATATCTATGGCACATTATGTCGATTAAGCAACTATACATATATGGTAAAAAATAGTAGACAACATTAATATATTGTATTGATTTACCTCTTATGTCAACGGTGTAAGTGTTCTGTGACATGACGTTATTCACTCGCGACTGTGTCGCTGACTCTTGCCACAACTTATTGTAAGATATAACTGGTAGTAAACGTGTATGAATGGCACGTAATGTATCGATACACAAGGACGAAAAGAAAAGTTGCACTGGCATTATCTCATCTTGACATGTCATCCAGAGTCAGCTGACTGAATCATCAGCTGATACTATTAACGTAATCACGTGACGTTACTGATCAAAGTTATTTTAAAAGTCCTTGTGCAAATTGAATTCTGAACTTATAGTTGCGGAAAATTAGGAATAAAAAAAATTTAAAAAGACAGAGTTCATATTATTATTTTTAATATCTAGTGAACTTATAAAACATATTTCTGTAAGATCGAGTTATCATTTAAGTTTTCGAATTTCTATATAAAGATACCCTTTCGTGATTTCGTATAATCCGTCATTGAAACGAATCTTCTTCAGTCGCTCATCAGATGGCGCCGATTAAGAGATCAGAGAGAAGCCTGAAGAGACTTCAGGCTTCTTTCTGAAGAGACTCAGGCTGCGTTTCGTTTCATGCATATGCGCGCATCTATCTATAGTACACGTAACGTATAATATAGATAAATGCGCGCACATGCGTGTGAAACAGAACGCAGCTTTAACGATATAGACTGCATTTCAATGTTCATTTCCAGTACTGGAAATCTATAGAACATGTGTAACGTATAGTTTTTTACTACTGGCAGTAAATATCGAAATCCAGTCATAATTTCAAATTGACACATCACTGTACATTTGTAATTAAATTGTGTATTTAGTACTTAATCTAATATTTTTCTAATATTTAAATAAATAAACAACATATTTATATAATATTTTTAATTCTTTATTATGTAAACTTGATGATTTATTATGTTAAAACTTGATTGAAGGTGTGAGTTAAATTGCAATATAACAAGTCGTTATTTGGGTGTTAACTTCTTCATCATTTTTATTCGGCAAAAATTAGACGCAGTTATATTTTTTTTGCAAACAAAAACACATCATTGGCATTATCATTTATTTATCTTATTTTAAGATATATTTCTTGTCTACTCTCCTCACTTCTTTCTTTATCTCTCTTTCTTAGTTGTAAATTTCAAGTATTTAGTTTGATATGTTGATAATTAAAATATTATATTTTTCTTTCCTAATGGCCATGACGACTATTAAAATATTTGAGATCGCTGCGGATCTAAGCTCTAATGTCTGGCAGTTAATTATTTGACGCAATCAAAGGCACTCTTATCATATCGTCGTCGCTGTTTTTTCCATCGAGAACGCCGGCGATGGTGTTGGTTTTTGCTGCGAGTGGTGCGACAGTCAGCGCGGCAAAAATCTCGGAGCTTTTCGGCTTCGACACTCGTTCAATTTTTGCAGCGCGCTCGCGATTTGCTTGAATGTCACGATTTCGCACGTTGTTTACCGCGATTTGACCGTCGATCTTGCGCATAACTATTGCGTGACGATTGTTTCGCGTGTCGTTGGTTGTTTTGCGTACTCGCAGCCATCGTCGGCGCGTTCTATTCGCAATCGTGGTATTGTTTTCGTCGCTCTTGATTGTCGTACTAGCCGTCTCCATCGTGCTCGGTGTCGTCTCATTTGAATGACGATTTCCGCTGTTGTCAGCGGACGCGAGTGAATCTGTACAATTCGGCGGCGGTTCTCGATGCAGATATGTGATTGGCCAGTGTCTACCGTAGTAACCGGGATCACGCGGACGATCGTGTCGATCGTCACCGATCGTAGGCGGCCTAATTGGTCGCGGACTCGGAAGATAAGGGAAATACTTCTCGCTGCAAGGACGCCATTGTTCCTCCGACGATCCAACGTAGCACCTTGAACAAAGTTGTTTTTATAATATTGTCCATTGCTGATTGTAGAAAGGAACACATGTGAGGACAGAACTGCATGCGAGATTGGTGTTTTAAAATCTTGTCACATTTATAGTTCCTTTACAATCAAATAAGCACATAAAAATATGGATTTAAAGAAAATGTATGTGTACGCAGAGAGAAAATCTAAATAATATACCATGGATAATGATATCCTTGTGAGAAGCCGCAATTATGAGTCGGAGCACAGCAATAGTCCCAACTGCCGTAATCGCCTCCTTCGGTCTCGCAGACCCAAAATCCGGCAATTTTATTTCTCTCGCACTTCGTGCCTTTCTTGCACGGATAACCGTTTACTGTGTAATAGCGAAAGATCGAGTGTTCATCCGCTAGATGATCCAAAGAAAATCCGTGTTTTAGTTGTAAATGTGAAAAATATAGAACAGAAATATATAGAGATAAATGCGAGCCAAAACAGTTTTGGTTCAAAACAAACTTGTTCAAAACACTTGTTTTGGCTCGTATCTATCCTACTATATCCTGTTCCATCTTCTTACAAGATTGCTCAATTGTAAAAAGTATATTACAAAAGATCCACTCACGATTAGATCCATGATCGAATCCACCGGGACGATTACCGTATCCAAACTTATCGTCGTGACCACCGTATCCTCCCTCAGGACGATATGATCCGACAGGATCAGGCTTATCCGGATTAAACGGTCTCACGCCGTGATGATGACCGCCTGGTTTTGGTATCATAAAGAAAGGTCTTGGATCTGGATAAGTACTTTCGGGTCTTACGCCCGGATAATCAGTTCCTCCTAGAGTAAAGTCGGGTCGCGATGGACCCGGAAGTAACGGTCTTGATGGGCTCGGTCCTCCAAACACGTGATCGTCGTCGACAGAATAACCAGTAATCACGCAGTAAGGATCAAGATCTTTCCACGCGAAAAGAACGTGATTGTTGTCATAGATGTAATCCAAGCCTGGACGCAGATCTCTTATAGGTACATCACTTAGCAAACAGTTCTCTTCTTTGCCGTGTGTGGTAAGTCTGGAGACCGAAGGAAGTTGAAAAAGTTAACAATCGTTGATAGAAAAAGAAAGTTAATAGAAGTTTTTTAAATTTTATTAGTCACACAAATCGGCTTCAATGTGTTAAAAATATTTTTAAAAAGTACGTATAAATTTGTTTAAATCCAACAAAATTGTCTATGCACTTACTTGTAACTATAAGACATGCAAGGAATAGAATCAGTTTGTCGCATTCTTGAACATTTCTGCCGACAGTCTTGTTCAGAATTCACATATGTCGCCAAGAGCACGGCATACGGTGTCAACTTGCACGGCTTGTTATATCCAGAATAGCATACTGCAAAAAAAAACAATTGTGTTCAATGATACATTTTATACAACAAAAATTTATATTTCTTGCTCGTAAGTACCATCGTCTCCTTGTGAAGACTGCTTGCCGTTGAATCGTTCCATGTTAAAGAATGGTACGCTATAAGGTTCGCATCCTCTGCCGAAACTACCCCTTTCGTATAATTCTGCGCCGTCCATGTCCGGCATATTGACAGGATTAATATCTTGCGACGGCCAATCACTCAAATAACAATTAATTGGAACATCCGATCGTCCTTGATCTAATCTGTATCTGAAATATTTCGCAATTTATGATAGAGTTTTAAGAGAATCTCAGTTAAACTTGTCTTTATTATCGTTTTATTGTTTTCTATGAAATATTAGTGTCCGAATAATGTGAAACTTACTTGAACGCAAAACTTCTACACGTAAAGTCTTGCGCTATCGTGCATTCTACCTGACAATCTCCTAAATTATCGACTGTCATTGATTTTTTAACAACATCCGTTGGCATTCCGTATCCGCTTCTGACTCTCCAAAAACACTCTAAAAAAGTTTATAAAAAAAACTTCTCGTGACTCTTGCGAATCTTATTGAATAAAACAGGGAAAAAAAGGAGAGACAGAGACGAGTCGTTGTCTGTCGATTTTAGTTGTTACCGGAAACACAAAGCGGAACGCGCGAGATACGGTAACGTAATCGGGGCAGTAGTGCAACGCGCTACTCGTCGCAATAAATAAATAACATTCGCTGAAAGTTACTTTTTAAGTAAACGTTTGGGAACGGGTAAAAAATAATACATTAGAAGTTGATTTCAACTAAATTGCATTTGTATTGAAGATAATTAGAAATTCAATCATTCAATTAGAAAAAAGCGATTAAATCGTCTATACCATCCGGAGGATGTGCGCTCGATTCTCTCCTCGTGCCGCAAGTTCTCGAAGCAATCATAGCGTAAATATCGTAATCGCGATCTGGTTCGAGATCATTGTAGAAATTCAAATCTTTGTACGAAACGTTGCTGAGAAGACAATTGTCCGTGGGATCTGTGGGCGCTACATTATATCTGTAAAAATTAATATCCAAACTAATTAGTGTAATTTAAATTAGTAAATGTTCCAACTTTATCGTAAGTTCCATAGAATTTTATTGAATGTACTTATAACGCGGTAGAAGCACACAATTATATAGAATTTAATTGTTTATGTTTTATTTCTATTATTGAAGTTTACCTGTAACTGAAGCTCATGCAAATGAAATTCTTTTCGTTAATGCACAGACTCTCGCATTGATCCAAATTTGGTGTCAGGTACGTCTTTCGAACGACGCCTCTGCTGAGTCTGAAGCCCGCGCCGGCTCTGACAGAGCATTCCTCGACTTTTCCACTTCCGCTGTAGAGCGTATCCTGATTGGCCGGTATGTAACTGTCACCGTAACCGAAAGCACCGCCGTAATTGTAAAATTCTCCATAGAAATGATCGTTCTCGTAAGGATGCGGTGATTTAGGCTGCGATTTCGGATAATATTTTGGTACGTCGAATTTTCCCACGTAGTTCGTATCATAACCGTAAGACCCGCCGTAAACGCCGTAAGAGTCCCAATTATTTTGATCTCTTCGATGATCTGGCAAATATGAACCGACTTCGTTTGTTCCTACATTGCGATGTAACGGATACGTATGTGTAAATAATAGCTCGATTTCGTTGATGTAAAATGTTTTGGTAACAAAGTTTTATTTGTTGATGTGATTTGTCGATATACCTATGTCGTGAGCAGGTCCATAGCCGATTCTTCTGTTCGGATATTTTGGCGGCGTCGCCCATGGCAGATTTCTGTTATAAAAATCGTCGTCGATAGGCCGTCTAGGTGGAAATCGACCACTGTAGCTGAATCGATCTTCTGGTCTTGCCGACGGATATCTATCTTGAAACGAATCTTGAGGATAACCTCGTCGATTAAACGCATCGTCGTACAGTGTGTGGTGTCCGTAAACTGTGGATGGTCGTCGATCGTGATTTACAGGTCTGTGATCGTAATCCAATGGCCGCGGAATCTCGTTCGTAGGACGTCGATCGTAATCCGAGGGTCGCGGAATTTCTTTTAAGGGCCGACGATCGTAATCCAGAGGCCGTGGTATTTCGTTCGAAGGATGTAAATCCGGAGCGTAGGGTCTTATGCCAAAAATTTGTATAGATATTAAATATGTGTGAAAATATTAAAATTGACATTTTAATCCATTTGTGAACAGTAGATAAAAAAACAGAATTCACGCTCTAGTGATCGTACAAATGAAAACAAATTGCTGAATTGTTTTTCCCGGAAACAAACATATCCGTCGCGTCGTTTAATTACAATCGCCTTTTTTTCACAAACAAATTCGACGTGAACAACTGCGTTTCTTAGGAATTTAACTCATATACGCGGGAAGTGATATTAAACGTAAAATAAGATAAAAAATTTTCGTAGAAATTTTAAATGAAGGTTTGCTTGTGCCGTACCTCGTATCTGGTCTTCTATTGATCGAATAAGGTGGACCGTATAATTGAGTGGGTCTAGACGGCTGATTCCACCAGGATGGTCGTGTTTCAGGCGCGTTTGCCGCGCAATTCGGATCTTTCTCGTAGTAATCGCATTGGGGATCCGCTATAAAATCTCGATGAAAATCCATACGAGAAAAAGGTATTGATGTCAACTCGCACATCCCTCTTGTTCCATGTCCGTAGCGTCTATCGCGCGGAATGACAATATTCAGATGGATTCTTTATCTTAATTTTGCACTTTTAATCTGTTTGTATATTATAATTGTCAAATTGTTGTTATTACTATTACTATTAACTATTATAACGCGGTGTTTTAAGTATGTTAATTGGATGCTGGAAAACACAGTGGCAACTTTTCCAACGCGTGTGCGTGATAGTTCTCCTCGGCGGAGAAGCGTGTCACAGATTGTGGTGCGATCAAATTGTTCGTGATGCAATCGCACGGTGGGTCATGCATATTGTACGTATTGTATTTTGCGTGTGCGTTTGATGATTGGTACCCCAGATATATACGCACGCGTGATATAGAAATGCGTAAAATCATTGAAAAATTCCAAGCGTGAATTAATCATTGTTAACAGTTGCGCACACGTTATCTTTTATTTATTATTTTTGGCGCTTTGTGCGTTATGTTTCTTTCTAATAAAAATTCGTAATTATGTCATTCTGCGATAGATCTTGAAACGCAATATATAAATTCCCATTTTACGCGCGAAAAATTTAACAACAACATACAATTAAAATATTGTAAATATATGTGTGAATTTTGTTTTAATTTTATACACATTTTTCTCTGTGAATTCTTTCTGTGAAAAATTCATTACCTGTAATTGAAACCTTCACAAACAAAAAGTTTCTCGTAATCACAAGCACGATGGCAGTCGTCGATTCTGTCGCACTCGACGGCGCGTCTGACGTGCAGTTCCAGACTCTTCTTGCCAGATAGGAGTCTTCTGTAACACGCTGCAAAGAGAAATTTCAATGCACTTTCTCTGAGCACACTGATTTATTTTTGCAAAGAAAAAACTTACGCGAGCATTCATTGTCCACTATAATGATAGAGTTCGAACATTTGGCCCACCGAGCAATTACGGCCAATACTAAGGTCCACAACCATCGTCGTCGTGACATGATTTTCGCGTTTCAATTGAGACGTCGATTCACCGAAATAAACATATTATTCGAGTTGAGATCGCGAGAGAAGCCACGCGAACACGTTATTCCTAAGCATTTGTCGCGTTTTCCTTCGAGCGGCGATTTATTTTCGCGATACGCCACAAACCGCGACGAAGCGTAGCCATTTTTTTGGTGTCTTCCGAGAAAATATTCGCATTCAAGTTTCCACCGATTTAACGATCCGCACGACGTTTGCACGAAAAAAAAAAAAATGGCGCAAACTGAAAATCGCGCAAAAAGTAACGGAGAAATTACGAGCTCGCATCGTTTTATAGAAAAGTGAACGTTTCCGCGAGAATAGTGGGAGGAACTCACACGTCGGGGGAGGGATTTCAACGTTACATGATCATTAATGATTCTACTTGCTATTATATTTTTCTTTTGCTCACGGACACGCGAGCGTTGCATTCTTTTGCCGAGCATCGCCATTCGGTGCTTTGTGCAATTATGTAGAATTGACTCACGAATGACTTGTCTCGTTTTAAGTAATTGCAGGATGTAAATCTTTAATTTGAATTGAAGCTTACGAACAGGCGTACGCACATATATCGTCTGTTGCTTAGTTATAACGTTGCTTGGTTCATTTTAATATCTCAGATATTATTGTGTGTTATTCTTTGATTGAATTAATATTTACTTATTCTCCAATCTTCTCTATCCGTATCGTTTATTTAATATTTCTTTTTGTCGCCTTACGAATCTCTTCTGTGTGATTAAACAAATAACGCAGACGAAATTAATATTTATTCGCCGAAAGATCTTTACCTAGAAATCATCTGCTGGAACCATTTGCATTTTTCCGTCGTTAAAAGAGCTTTTGTGCCAAGGAATAACAAAGAGAAATGACATCACTTTAGAAGGGATATGCCGTCACACGTCCTTCGAGATTCGTCAGGGTCACAATTAGCTCAATTATTTCAACCAGCCTTAGGTCTTAATGTCGCACCATAACTTTAGTAAAGTTGTATTTCCGCGATTCGAATCAGTCAGTCAAATTTAATTTACGCGGCCTGTTGCGTTTGTTTAACTTCAAAGTTATTTGAAAAGCAAACGTTTGAATGTTATTCTGTCGTAAAAAATTGTGTCGCAATCACAATCGATCTAATCGATTGCGACAATTCCTTGATCAAAATAACAGCAGTTAGGTTGCGCGCGCAATTAATTTGAAGCGCTGGAAGAAATAAGGGACTGTCGAAAGTAAAAGCGCATTATGCTCGTAGATCACGCGAGCCGGAAGTCGGGCGTCCTGTAATGTCTCGACATTTATTTTTTTTCCTTGTGCAACCTGTCATTCCCTGTGTTTGTGGTGGCACAATCGCGAAAAGTCATCGAGAGTTTCCTTTAGAGCTGGGTCGTTGCTCGGACGATAAACTTTGCACAAGAAAATCACCAGTTCTCGAATCTTAGACGTGTCTTTCAATTTCAATGAGTATTTAAGTGAAATTAGTATTTAACTGAGTTTCTGGAATTCTTAACATATATATATATATATATATATATATATAACAGGAAAAAATAGAGAGATTATATTGAGTTATTTTCTGCAAAAGATATGCAAAAGTTACGGCGATAAGAGCGGCCGGAAGCCGATGGATATAGCGAGCTAATTCGCATACAGTTTAAAATCCGTGTCAATGCCGTTGCCATTTGTCAATCGGTCGTTTGCAGATGAGCATGGCTCGATAAACGCTGGTTACACAGCGACCGTCTGGTTGAGCCAGTTGACGGCGCAGGATAACGAATTAACGATCTACGGCGTTGCCATTGTACGGTAGAATTTTTCGGCAATTATTTCACTCGTTCTATTTTTAATAAAATACAACATTGTGATAAAACATCGTATAAGCTAAAAGTACATACAGAAATATTTGCTTCTGAAAATGTGTTGTGGACTCATTAGAGCTGTGTTAACTAGATACACAATGTTATATTTATATATATAGATTTAAAATGTGGAAATCTTAAATAATAGTGATTCTACGGCTTGAAAAAATTAATGTAACGGAACAATGTCGTTTTACGTAAGAGGGTGATAATCAGCTTGTGGAACACAATAAGCACGAGCACATATAATGCAACCGTATGATTGCTGCAAAAAAAAAAAAAAAAATTGAGGTTGCGTCTCACATATGCATCATACGCGAAGTAGCTGCAGCGACAATTGCTCGAAGATTTGTGTCTCCGGTCTTTCGCGTACGCCTCGTTAAAGACGGAGATTTGTGTTTCCGTTCCTCGAGGTGCTAAAATTGCACCGAAAGCTTATGCATCACGCGCAAGTTAATTTGAACGATATTTACAAAAGAAATCGAATCAATTATATGCCAATATTGACAAAATTATTGGCAAAAAAATAAGCGGTAAAAAAGTGATTAAAAGAGATTAAAGGTGTACTCACATTTCGGTTTCTCGGTGATTCTTGCGCCAAAATCGCGAAATCCAGTTGACAATCCGGAATTCCATATTTTAGAAGTGTCTTTGAAATCACTGTTCGCAATTTTTGCACTGGTTGTCTCAAAATTATAAGAAGAACTGCTCGGACTAGATACTTTGCTAATATCATAATTTCCCGTGATTAACTCGTTTTGCTTCGGTCTCGTGATAATTCCCTGATTTTTATCCGCGTTATTAAAAAATTCTTGATTTCGATGTTTCGTTGAGTCGTGATCAGTCCAGAATCCAAAGTTCAACGGAGATTGATTTTTCGAGATCGTATCGTAAACAAAGAGAGGTCGTGAGAATAATTCAAAGGGTCCGTTATGCACAGTGACAGCTTTATAGGAATGAAAATCGCTGTCTGTAGTTGGTCCAAAATTTACGTAATTGAGGTCGGTGAAAGGATTTCGAAAGGACGATCCGCTAAAATCAGGACGACCTTGATTCGGATTTGAATGTATCCTTTGACCAAAGGTTGATTTCCGGTTTGAGTATATCGATGGATTATCGATTTTTGCGTTGTTAGTTCCGAAAGGATTGTTGGCAGGCATCGGATTTCTGTTTTTAAGGATATCAGAGATTCGGCGTTCGTCGTCAAAAGATGGCGTGTATCCTTGTTGGTATAAAGGTTCATCAGAGATGTTACGCATCATACTTTTCATGGTTCTTCAAGTGTAACGTTGCATGAAAAAAAAAAAAATCATAAAAATACAAAGTAACTGTGTCCGTTTTTATATTATATTTTAGTTATAATAAAAATAAAAAAACCGTTAGAATTAAATTAAAATATTTATATTTCATGAGCTATTTGTTGAAAAGCAATCACATATGAATAATATATTTACATACATTTTGACAATCAAGATAATTACTAAAATAAAAACGTTCAGTAAAAAGTCTTTTTTAAATACGTACGTACGAATATTTCTCATGGAATATAATCATTCTTTTATTTCCGTCAGAAATATCTATCACAGTTGCGATAAGATCGAACAATGGAAATATTAATGGCGGGATTGTTCTCCGTTTGCAATTAATAATCGAGTAAACGTACCTCGGAGATGACAGCATACTTGGCATTGTCGGATTCCAAAGACCGCTTCCGAATCTCGTGACTGGCCTTGTCTCGTTTCTTTTTTCCTGTCTCATAATGCCGCTTCCCATTTTGTAGAGCCGATCTGGTTCGCATTGCGGTGAACGTTGACTTCTCACGTAAACGTCGTAATCCGCGTGAGATTGTAGATCTTCGAATTTTGGCGTTCTCGTGCTTAGCGCGCATGTTCCGTTACCTTTGACGCCAATCCTACATCAGTGCAAAAGTATGATTTAAAAAAATATAATTTTTTAAATTATTTGTGTATAAGTTTTTATATAAATTTCTTTTGACAGTTTAGATTTTTGATAAATTAAATGTTCATTTTGTTTCATACCCGAAAGCAAACGCGTTGCAAGAGTTTCTTTGTTTCGAACATTCGTCTTCACATTCCGAAATGCTTCCGACCGCGACGCTGAAGAAGATATCCGCGTCTGGCAGTTTAGATCCGATGGCTATCCTCGTGTAGCAATCTGCGTTATGTGTGTAATATCGTTATATTTTATTTACTTTTTATTTGGTGTTTTTTTAGATAACAATTGCTGTCACTTACCGTTCGCGATTATCACAAGCTGATTGTCAATTGTAAAACCGACCGAGCGCGACACTTGACAAAACCGCAGGAAACAAATGATGAGAACGAGAAATTTCCACTGATTCCCCATTGCTGTTGCTAAATTCTACCTTAAGAACACTTCACTTAATTTCACATGATGCGTAAAACTTCCTGTTTTCATAGTTCTGATGAAAACAAGTGTTCTTTTGTTTTTTTTTTTACTCTCGTTATTGTTACAGCATGATCACCCAATTTATTCTCAATAACAACGTGATACAAAGCGTAACTTATGTCTCAATTAGGCCTGTTTTACTTTTTGCACCTCATTAGTACAAACGTGAACGCTTTAGTTATTACTTTCTAGTCGTTATCTGGCATTCCATTCTATTCGCGATCTATGAATCACGGTTCATTCACACGAGACGTCCCTGGAAGAGTGTCAACGGAAGATACGCGCACGATTAGCGATCACTGTGAATTGCAAAGATAATTGTCAATAGCTTTTCCCAACGATGATTCGAGTAAAATCACATAAACGCTCGGATAAATTTTTTAGGTAGAAAATTCAACAAATTATTTTTTTTTTGTTTTAATGTCACTGTGTAAGAATCTTGTCTTCACTCGATCACCACCTAGATCGATAGCTCATGACAAGCGAGGATGGCGCCGATTCGGCGTCTGTCTTCTGGCGGCTTCTTCCGGCGGTATTAACTAGCGTTCGCTCCTTTAATTAACGGACCGAGCGTAATTAGCGTGTCGTCCTTGCTGCGGTTCATTATACTTTCGCGTACGAACGTTTGTGTCGTGCCTCTTACGAATAGCTCACAACTGAGAGCATCGTGTAACTGTATCATTGTCTTATACAGCGGAGAGCCGGCGGTTATGATCGCCGGCCTCTTCTGCTTCCTTTGCTTGTTTGCCGCTTCTTCTCTTCCTTCGTTCTTCGGCCTTTTCCTCCTACTCGCTCTTCTGTGTGACGCTTGCACGCTCAAAGGAGCTCGTGCTCGCTCGCAGGATTCGCGCACGCGAATCTCTCTCTTCTCTTCCCCTCGCTTTGCGGTTTCGCGTCTGCATTTAATTAAAACGCACCGACGAATGTAGCAGATACACGGTGCTCGTGTTATTGCAAAATCGAATTGTGTACTTCCCCGTGGCATAGATCGTCTGCGATATTGTGCAGATCTTGGTTAGTAGCTTGTTACGACGCTTTTAGTATCAGGATCCTGTACGCATCATCGCTAATGACAAAATATTAAGATAAAACATTATTACGAATATTATGAAATTAATTAAAATACAATTTGAATATTATAAAATTACTTAAAATAAAACATTGAGAATTATGATTTTTGTCTAATGAATATAACTAAAAAAATTACATGTTTATACTCGTTCTTTATAAAAAAAAACAAGTTGACAAAATTTTTTAAACAGTAAAAATAAAAATTAGCGTGTACTAAACAAACAAATTTTATTTTAACTTTTTTTTCTATTCTGTTTTATCTTTAAGGAATTTATAATAACAACTAATCTCAGTTCTCAAAAATTGATTTGTTGTCCCATTTACCGGAAGATCTCGATTACTTGGCTCGAAGAAGCGCGACTCTTTTGTGCAGCCGCGATCATTAACAAGAAGAAAGTGAAAATGCACCTGTTGCAACGGCACCGCGAGATAAAATTCTTCCTGCTTGCCAAACCTCAAAACTCGAGTTGTCTTGTGCGCGTGTCAAGGACCTGGAGGACAATTTTCTTGTGTCGTGGGCGTGTCGAGAAGGGCGTGTAAAAGCGCCCATCACGTCGGTTTTCCTTTGAAACAATCTGGCGAGTGATTGATGTAGCGATTGCATCTAGTCAATCTCTCGGATATAGTATTTTACAGCCTATTGTTTTTAAAAACGGCAATAAAAACCTCATTACGCGCGCCGCGCGGCATGCAAATCGATTCTCCTGTTATTAGAAAACACTTTGCCTTCGACTAATTGGCTAAGCGCTTTTACTCGCGCTCAAAAATCGCGCATTTATGATTGCATCACAATTTACCTACTTTGGATTAATATTACATTTTGGAACGCACTAATATTTTTTTCTCAACAGGTATTTATTATCTGTGTTACAGTTTAACGGTACTCCCATAACGCGTCTAGTTCCAAAGTCAGATCTGAATTTAGTTAACACATATGCTGTGATTTAAGAAGACATTGATTGTTTTCTTTTAAGTACAGCTATTTGCAGTGGCGTAACGCGACGATCTCATTTTGTTAACAGACTTTTTAATTTGACTAACGTCAGGTGATGTCGACTTGACTGTTTCATGTGAAAAAATGAGTATTTTTTCAAGTCAGAAGTGTATTCATATAGAAGTTTTCTTCGGTCATTGAATTCTTTGCATCGCGTGTTTGAATTCTTTCGCCTTCGAGCGCGAAGTTCGAATTACGCCAGTGGGAAAAACATGAGTTTCGGGTTTCTTGACTCCCGTACGCGCACGGTCGACCCTGAGCGTAGAACGCGTCTTTCTACTACGTGTTGCTTTCGAAGACGCCGCAGCGTCCTAATGGGCCTAGATGCATAGCAAATGGGCGCTTACATAATGAAAATGGGATGAGTTACATGTAGACAAAGCTGGGACGTCACGCTCCGCGAGACTCGGCCTGGAGTGAGAATGAGTCATTGTGTGATTATCGCGCTCTTTGTCGTAGCGCGACGAGCAGATTTCCCGTAGAGACGCAGCTTTTCGGATTTCAAATTTAAGTGCATCCCTTCTCAACTTTTACTATAGTTTTACTAGTGTTACAAACACAAAATGCAATAGGTAATTAAACAAACAAAAAGTATAAATTTACACGCTAAATAAAAGATACACAAAATACATACATACATACGTACATATATATATCATCCTACATGTATATATATACACATATAGTATATTTCACTACTTTTATGATAAATTTTGTGTCGCTAATCGCACAGATGCAAAGGGAAGGTCGTGTTTCAAATATGTAAATTTCTGTTTTATGCAGTTTTATTAGAAAGATAGTTTTGTAGAGTATAAAATTCTATAAAGTAATTGACAAGGCGCGTAGCGTATCACAACATGTGTAAAACTAAACTGTTGAAGTGTTGAAAAGCATTGAAAAGACTTCTACGAAAAACAAAAGAACTTAAAGTTTAGCAGTCTTCGAGAGAAAAAAATCATTAACATAAATCTATTCTATTTTTTTTTATAAATAATTTTTGCACCAATATAAATACTGTTATATAAAATTATTAAATAAAAAGAAAATTAGTGAACATATATATAATAATTAACATATAATAATTAGTTAATCAGCTGTAAAGAAAGTAAATTTCTAATGGCAAGATCGTCATTGAGCGATCATTGTCATGATTATGTCTCGTCAATTAGAATTACCAAGTGTTGCAAGTTTTATTTAATCAAATTATTGAATGTAGCTTGTGAAAGTTACAACTGGGTTTTGAACTTATAGGCTCTTACACAATGCTACATTTTCTAGTTTGCAGCTTGTTATGACCTTAATCACTCTGACACGAATTAACGTACCGCGTTAAATTGTACCACAGACACTTTGTTTACGTATAAATTTATCTATTACAAAGTAATACGTTATTCTTCTTTCCATCTTGTCTTTTAATTTACAAAACTGCTCAGTTTTTATAAATTTTCTCTGCTTTACTTTGACAATTGTTTAATCAATATCGTCGATTTAACGCCCGCGGTAAATCGACGCGAACTTTGTCATAACAATTTATCATAACAATCTATCCGAACTCAAAATCAAAGCTTCTTGGAAGATCTAGCGATCGTTCACTTTGCGTTTTCGATAACAAAGACACGTCGTGAGACCGAAGTGACGTTTTTGTGGTTTATCGCCGAGAAAAGAGCAGCAACGAGATCGTGGCTCTTTGGTAGTAAACGAAAGACAATTCTCATCAGCACGAACTTCTAAGCAAGGCGCGATATTTGTTTTCAATTTTCTATCGTTGTTTCTGAACTACAATTAACAGCAAGTGTACGGTTTTTCGTGAATACCGTGTGCAATACTGGTGTTCTGTCCGCTCTCCTCGCTGGAGGGCGAGGGTGGCATGTCGGCGCCGTTGAAAAAATTATTAGAATCATAAATCTTGAGAGTGGTGCCCTTATTGTCCGACGCCATTGTCATTAGGCTCATAGCGATCGCCAGAAATACGGTCTCGACTCCTTCGTTATGTAGCACCGAAATCTCATGATATGTAGCACCAATTGACGTGGCGTATTGCCGGCCTTCTTCACCGTCCACCTGACGCTGATGCGTCAGATCGGACTTGTTGCCTATCACAGCCAATACCATCGTTTCTTCCACATTCTGCTGCAACTCCTTCACCCAACCCTTAATCGCGGAGAACGTGTTGTACTGAGTGAGGTCGAACACCAGCATGGCCGCATTGGCATTTCTGTAATACATCGGCGCCATAGAACGAAATCTCTCTTGACCAGCTGTGTCCCATACCTGTTTATAACGTTCGGTTTACTTTATATTGAGTCTATATCACATATATTAAGTTTTATAATACGTTACGGAATGATTGGATAAAGAATGTAAATTTTCGGATTGCATCAATAACGTAACCTTAATAATATTAGAGACAGCTGATGCGCAGAAAGAGCGGAAAGGTCAGGAGGTTAATTGAAGAGATAACACAAGAGAGCGAGAAGAGAGATAAATTTTATGTCTAATCATCTTTCATTGAAAGACCATGTTAATCTCTTGATATCAATTAATTGTTAGATATATACATAACGTATAATAATAAAAATAGAAATTTTTAATCCTACTTGCAATTTTATCTTTGTATTGTCCAAGGTGAGTTTGCAGTTAAAAAATGATGCTCCTATTGTGGGACTTGCGGGTTCCAAGCTTCCTAGATAACGTCCAATGAGACTCGTTTTGCCAACACCTGAAAATAACAATGTGATTTGTTTGCTAACACTTGTGTTTAATTAAATAATAGAATGAGATTAGTCCGAACATGTATCCGTACATCTATAAATATAGCTTCTACATATAGAAAGTATTAATCTCTTATCTGATAATAAATTTATATATGAGAATCGAGCTTATTTAAATTATCGATCGTATAACACGCGAAGAAATAAAAATTTAGCATTTGGTTAATTGCGACGTACAAAAGTTTAACTTATCATTCGCGTTCTTTTTAATTATAGTGTTTTATAACACTTATGAACATAGTTTTCTAGAAAATAATAAAAATCAGAATTGTATTAATAAAAAGATTTATTGATTAAACAACGATACAGATCATAAAAACAAGACATTCGCGTATTTTTGCTATAATTGAGTAAAACCGATTATGTGACAATTTAAGATTCGAGGAAGTCTCTTTGAGCATATATATAGAAGATCATCATTTTCTTTGCATCTTAATTTCCACCTTAAATCTTCTTCTCCTCTTTTTTCTACAGACGAAATACTTTATTTATGTATACATCAATAACATTAATGAAAAATACTGCAACTGCAGTGTCAGTTTCGTTTCTTAATGCTATTTTCCAAAACTTTTTCAAAACGTTAATTTAATCCACATCTTGTGTTTATTTAATATATTATATACTCTACAAATAATTTGAAAAAGTTAATATTTCACAGTTAAAATTAAATTATTAGAATTCATCTCATATAATGCGATCAGGCGTATGTAACTGTATCAAATGTTGCAACATCTAATTTCCCAATATAGAACACAAACAAGAATGCTGTTCTAACACACACGTTTAACCTTTCTAACGGCGCAACACGTACCAGGAACAATAACGCGATGATTGATTCCGGAAATATGTAAACACGTCACACGCAATTTACAAGTTGCTTTCTCGAAACTGTAGCGCTTTTTTTACATTGCATAACGTAGTAATGAGAAGATAAAATTTTATTGCGCACCAATTATTGCTTACCTTGCGATCCTAACATTACCACTTTTCCTTGTATTGTCTTCATGTTCGAAACGCACTACATAATCAAACTAAAAACCGCCCGTGAAACCGCAAGTGTCATACGCAACAAATCTTCACGATTAAATAAACAAAAATGGCTCATTTAACGTTCCTACGCTTGTTAGAGACAAATCTCGAGAGAGACTTATGGGCGCATTTTACGTGTTTTTGTTTACGAGCGCCGTTCACGAGCGCACATTGAGTACACATGAACTGCACACAAACCGACCCATCAATGAATAAACCTGCTATCTTTCCGATTAATACGGTTCTGTTCCGTGCTACGTACGCTCTGCGCGTTGTTGGGTCGATGTGTCGCTTTGTGCAAATAAAGAATCGGTTCATTAAATAAAGAATCGATTTAGAGAATAAGAAAAAAATTAATGCAAAATGATTGCAAAATGATTAGCACAAATGTACATAGAGAAGCTAACCGTCATTGTTTGAGAGAAGCTAACCGTCATTGTTTGAGAGAAGCTAACCGTCATTGGATAATTTATCTGCAGAAGAGAAAACTTCAACAATATTGTTCATACATTTAAACTTACGTTACAAGTTTCTTATGTTCTTTCATAGGTGGCTATTTTGCACTTCTCATGATGAAATTTAAAATAAGTTTTAAGTTTTTGTACGTGATCGGCTTTTTTGTTTCTACTAAGTTCTCGGCGATGACGGTCTCGCCTCAGTGCAAAGGGCTGCGAACTCGGAAGTTTCTTGAGGTCGAATCCACTTGTGTAACACCTTAAGATTTTTTTCCGGGCCAGTCTTTTTC